CACACTCTGCTCTTACTGGTGCAATGTGCAATCAATGAAGACTGGCTACCAGGCTGGTCCAATTTAGCCATGAAACCTCCCACACTAAAATGACAGGTGTTTCAGTTTCATTGTCCAATCCCTGTAGGTCATATTAGACAGCCAAGAAATCAGTTGGATTGTATGATTTGCTTGTAAACCACATTTTTAGACTAGAGAGAAATACAAACTATCATCAAGCTTTATCATCAACAACCAAACGTTTATCCTATGACTGGGCTGCTTTCACTTTCAAGCAGTGGTGGGCACAAGAAAAAAGTTAGATTTGCTAATCCATATTCCACTCACCTAAATATTAGCTTCTGTGAAGCTAAACTGCTAAACAAATTAAAGAATTTGTGAAAGCTAACGCTAACCACTAAGAAGATAGTTTTCACCTTGAATAACTTAAAGAACACTTCGTAACTGCAATTCAAAACTGCCTTCAGCTAGCTGCTGCTGCATCACACAATGACGTCTTGCAGTAAACCTATATCAGGCCTAACAAACTCTTCAAGGTATGCTCACAACAGAAAGAAGCAAAATTGTGAGTTCTGTTAGTGGACTTAAAGTTGGCAAAATCTAATTTAGCGGACCTACACGGTCTGCCCGAGGCTGAAAATTAAACCCACGGTGAGGAGCAGAGGTTCTGCACATGATGCAAATGCTCTACCAACTGAGCCACCCAGTGCCAAGTTTCAAAGTATTTTCAACATAATAAATTCAAGTGTAATCTCTGCATTTAATAAAATGACAGGTTTACATTCAAGGTTTAACAAATTAATAAAGAATATTTGTTTGCAATGAATTTTCAATCATTTTAAAACAGGTAGTATTGATACTGTTTCATGCAAACCTTTTAATTCAACAACTGTCAAGGTTATAAAAACATTATTATTTTGAGGATTCTGGGAGGCCACCAGTGTGGATTAAGAGGTATTTTATCTAGACCTAGAAGTCTGGCAAGGGTATTTTGAAGAGACCTGGAGTAAAACAGTTAAAGTAGATGGAAGTTGAAATCTGAGGTGTTTGTATGCTCTGTAAAGGCACTTTTTTATAACTCCTCAACCATTTTAGTTAAAGCATTAGGATTTGGAGCCCATTGGTACCAGAACACATTAGAAGAAATCAGATGTTATTAGATGGTTGAATATCTTTGAAAAAATAGCGAAAACAGATTTTGATGTCCTTATAGTAACTGTGTCCTGTTACACAGCTCAAACCTCATTTAGAGTGTTACTCTCCTTGTAATGTGGCAGGATTTGGCAATTTTGTTCAATAAGACAATCTGCACTGTGGAGAAGATACAAACCGAGATGAGATCACTTTGAGAGGAGGCTGTGGAAAGGCTGTCCTCCTCTGTGGAATTTAACCATCAAGACACGATCTTGCTCCTCTTAAAGTTCCTCAATGTTCAGTGGCCATGGCATGAAGCTCTTCTGTTCTCCTATAAAGATTTCACACATATAACCCAAGCCAGTGAGCATCATGCACCCTATGAATAATCAGTACACGTACTGTACAGCACAGGATGTTCCAGCTTAAATAATGATTAGAGTCTGAACTGCACAGGGTCCCTTCTTGGCAGTCGTTTAATGAAGAAAGTCAACCGGATAATCCACTGGTCTTAACAACATACTCGGGCAATGAAACCAAATGGCAAAGCGGGTTTAAAGTGTTCCAGTTTCAGATTGCAGCTATGTATTCATCACCTGCAGTGAATTTATTAGAACCAACCCCCCTGCCGACAACACCCCTCCACCTCCACCCCCTGCCCATCCACCCATTGATGAGCTCAGCATGTCTCAGGCTGTTTCAGGTTTTCCACAAATTGAAACACACACATTTAAACTATATTCTTATAACTTTTACGAAGATTTTTTTTTAGATTAAGTTAATTTCCAAGACCTATAAAATGATTGCGGGCCTGACTCTAATCAAAAACTACATTCTGAAAACTAACATTGATACAGTCCTTGCCACGGGTCTATAAACCTCTGATCCAGTCCTCACAAAGAGAAACAAGGAAGCACACGTGCAGAATGACTCATGCCATTCAAATGTGTTCATTTGGCAGCTTGGCTCTCATCTGGACGCTTCAGACATGAGATAACAGAGATTGGATGATGACTGTTTGTCTGACCAAAGGAAAACGAGGCCTCAGGGGTGAATTCCTTCCTAAACTCCACTCCATGCAACTGACACAAAAACAACCCCCCAGCTCCATGGCATGGTCCATCTAATCTCAAACAATTACATGAAACAGTGAGGGGTTGATTCATTACATATGATGAACCAGATCCTTTACACATGATTTCTATTCATTTACATTGCTGTATATCTATGATAAATTAGATCAGTTAGATAGACTACAAGCATGTCTTGAAGACATAAAAACTTGGATGACTTTAAATTTTCTGCTTCTAAATTCAGACAAGACAGAAGTTGTCGTCTTTGGACCGGAGTCTTTAAAAAAGAAACTGCTTAGTCAATCATTTAACCTGGATGGCATTAAATGGACCTCCAATAATAAAGTAAAAAACCTTTATGTTATTTTTCACCAGGACATGTCATTTAAATCCCATATTAAACAGGCTTCTAGGATTTCCTTCTTTCATTTCTGGAACATTGCCAAAATTAGAAATATCCTTCCCAGGAGTGACGCTGAAAAACTAGTCCATGCATTTGTTACTTCAAGGCTGGACTATTGTAATTTGTTACTATCAGGATGTCCACAAAATGCAGTTAAAAGCCTTCAGCTGATTCAAAA